GGGGGGGATTGTGGGGACTAAGATTGGAAAATATATGAGACTAGAATGGAAAATTGGGGGCTGAGATTGGAAAATATGAGACTAGCCACTGCCTGGACCTTCAAGTCAAACATTTGTAATACTCATACAAAAAGAAACCTTTAAGGGCAGATGAAATACATGGGAAAATCTATTCAAGAGCTGTCTGTGTGTATGTCGCTGTCATGCTGGGCTGGATTGGTGCCTCATTATGTATTTATAAGATTGATTATTGATACTTTATTTTTCTAGGGATGCAGCTGCTACATCTCAAGGGAATTCCACCTCAACTCCAGCAACAAGCAGCAACCTTTCAAAACTACAGTTCAGTACAAAATTCTTGAATACAGTCCTGGAACTAGTTGCTGACCAAATTCACTCAGGTGAAGAAGGAACTGAGTACGAGGAAGATTTAACTCAGATGCTCACGACTCAGGGGTATATTGTAAATGACAATGCTTACTTAACCGTTGGACAGCTTAAGGAAAGTCAAATGTCAAAGAATCAGCTAATCCAGGGAATCATGGACAACTTGAAAAAGGACTTAGATAAATGTTCTTTTATTTCATTGTCCATGACAACAGCTGCAACAATTGCTGCTGCAGCTGTCTCACAACAAAGAGAATGGAAGAATGAAAATCCCACTAAACCAAGCAGTTTATCTACTCCAGATGTGCTTGTCTTCACATGTAATCATCAATTTCCAAGGGTTTACTTTATGGACAACATACTTCCTGAATTTCAGCAAAGAATGTCAGAACTACTTGTACCACTTGTGAATACAACAAAAACGCTCGTTACCCATTACAAGAAATCAGAAAAACAGCTCATTTCTGCATGCCCAGTGTGTGTCTATAACTCTCTGAGAGCTGAACAGCTGGAAAAGGCAACAGATGCCAATGCAGTCATTGGAGAAGGATTCAAAGCAAAACCATGGGATATATAAAATATAAATTGAATTATTGAAATTGAAGATGCTTTAGAGGATGTTTTTCATACGTTGGAAAAGTTATCCATCCTGTGAAAACATCTTCAATTGCATGAATACCTCACACAAAAAGCCTCAAATGTTCTATAAACTGAAATTATGTTTTTTTCTAAGAAATTCGTATTCTTTGACACTTTGAAAGAATAAGTGTCATAAAATAAAAATATATCATTGATAAAGAAAAAGGAATATACAATAACACAGAATATAAAGATTTTTAGATGTTTTAATGCATTTTATTATTACAAAATGTTACAAGACATGCTGTAATCAAACCAGACATGCTAACGATAAATCAGTRTGAAAAAGAATACTTTATAATAAAATCATTATTCTCATTATTAGAATGGCTAACCATACCAGTCAGGGAAATATTTTGTACCCATATTGAAAGCAGGATTTTTTGGTAAAATAACTTAAAAGTATTCATTTATTTCATTTCTATCGCTATTATCAGCAAGTGTAGAAACCACCGTCATGTTTACGAGAGTACCCTCCATTGGTTGCTGCACTGTGATGGCTTTCTGCAATCACATGAATTCAAATTTGTTTTGATTAGGGAACAGGTCATAAAGTTGTATTTGTGTAAAGTGAAAGAAAGAGATAAGAATTGTATGACAGAATATTTGATTCATAACATAGAGTATTATTGTCAATTGATTAATCTTACCTATGGCACCATTAGTACTGTTATTGCTTTCCTTCTTGACTGCTGTGCTTCTCATTAATGGCAGTTTGTAAATATCAATGGGTGGTTCAGGTGATGGGGGACGGTTCTTCAGCACTCTCCTGAAGAGCGAAAATACAATTAACCTTTCTTTGTGGATTTTTCTCTGGTTTCTCTACCCTTTGCAAAAATCAACTTCTATCTACATAATTTATATAATTAAATCCATTATTTCTCAACAATTTTAATGGGGCAATTCAGATCAATTAAGCTTCATACATTAATTAACTGCATGCTCTCTATCTCTATCCACCTTACCCATGTTGGAGTCCTAAAGTTTCTGGTTGAGTAAGCGTCTCTGCTTTTGACTTCAGGAACTCATGATGGTTATCATATCTCGATTTGATGACAAAATCCAGGCTGTCCTGAGGAGCCTAAAGACAAGATAAGACGCTCTATTAAAACCTGTTTTGTGTGCTAATACAACTGCACTGTTACATTCGTGTTAAATTACCTGTGGATCATAGTGAAACACTTCCCGACGTGAACTACTTAGTGTAGCCGTTTTATAGAGACGATCCCATTGTTGTCCGTTATCTTTCATAGTTTCCTTTCCCTTTTGAACCTAATACAGTAGAGTAAAAATGATTAATTAAGCTTAAATGAAATTGGGGTAATTTTGTTTTGTGATCACAAAGAAGCCAAAGTATTGTTGGGGAATTCTGAGGGACGCGCAAACAGCTGATGGCCAAAATTTGGTAAAACGATTATTTGCGTATATAAGCGAATGAAAATAAAAGAATAATACAATTATCTGTCGTCCTTACGAAGATATTCAAGTTAAATCAGTCTGTACTGATAGTGAAACATTTTCATTGGAATCGGAGATCACACTGCGGCTTCACTCTGTTCCTCGAGATCAAAGAATATCATCCTTTTAAGCAAGAAAATATCCTTACGAACCTGTTTAGGTTGGTTACCAGCAAAGTCCGTATCATTCTGAAGCCTTGGGAAAGGATAGGGATCTCTTGGCATGATGATTTGATAATTTGAAGACGTAGAAAATATTTCTTATTCTTTCACAAAGAAATCCAGACTAAACTAAACACAACAAAACACCGCATGTGATCAAACTAGCTTGTTACTATAGCAACTGTTCAATAAATCCAACATGCTTTGCGCGCCTACTGTTTCCCTTAATCAAAACTAATTAAAGACGAGGAAAGACGGTATATTTTATTTTAAAAAAATGTTATCTTAATAATTCTAAAGAAATGTTTGGAGCAAGTTAGTAAATTAGTTCACATTTAGATAAGTTACTTAAAAAAACTTGTTTGCATCTCTAAAATTTCTATCTCTTGATAGCTAATATCACATTCAATTTGATTTTTCTTTTCCATTGAATTCTTATCCCTATCTAACATATGATTCTTCATTCATTTATTTTTCTATTTATTTATTAGTTTATCAGAGGTGAATAGCGATATTACCCATGATTCCAAGGTATTACCCATGATGCCTAGGGATACGTTTATCTAGCACGTCTTCTTGATGTCATGGCTGAAGTTTTCGAACACGTGTAGAATATACATGGCTTATCAACTGCTTTTTCCTTCCTTTTTCTAACTAAATATTATCATATTCTTGAGTGTTTTGCTGTGGCGAATATGGGGGTGCAAGCCTTGCAGGATTACGTTGAGTCTCATTGTCCGAAAGGATGCAAATCGGTGGAAATGAAGGAGTTCTTGAAGGATCRAAAGAACGAGGGTCTTGAAGCAGTTGTTGTTCTAGATGCCCTTAGCTGCGTACGCTATTTGTATGGATATAATTCAGACTGGGTTTGTGGAGGACAATGGAGCGAAATGCTCAAAAACGTTGAGAATTTTGTTCGGTCATTTCGCCAGCAAGATATCCAGTTGGTAGTATTTTTTGGTGGTGAAGGTGATTCTGTTCGCCTATTAGACTGGATCAAGATACAAGAACAACACAGAAACACGGTGCACAAAGTTCTCAATCATGTCGTGCGCCAAGCTAATTTTCCACCTAAAAGACTCTTCTTCCTCCCTCCCGCTGCCAAAATGTGTCTTCAGATGGCATTTCGTAGTTGCGGTTCTACTGTTTGTTGTTCTTTTTTTGATTTACATCAAGAACTCGTATCCTACAGTATCGAAGGAAAATGCGCTGGTATAATAGGCCATAACGCCGCTTATCTTGTTCTCAACCCGCCAGCCTACCTCTCGGCAGAACAAATTACCGTCACGAAGAAGAATATTTTGGTAAAACATATTGATTTAGAAGTTGCATACAAAGAGATTGGTTTAAAGCCGTCACGTATAGGTCTGTTTGCAAGTCTACTCGGGTCTCCATTCATTCCTGAGGAGACATTATCGTCGTTTCATTGGTCACTTGTTGGATCAGTCAATCCTTCAAGCAACAATCAGGTAAACAATCTTAATGTTTTGATCTCCAAATCTTTATTATGTAGTAATTGTTATATAACTGATTCAAGATGTCGATTAGTAATTTATTACAAGAACGATACGACATCACGATTTAAAATTATTGGATACAAAGCAAATATAGAATAAATATCCACGGAAATTGTTATTAAATGTTATTTCTACTAATGGTATTGATCACTAGAAGATATTTTGAATTCAACTTGAATAATTTTTTAAAATCTTTCTTAATAATAACTGTCATTGTCTTTTTGTTTCTGATCATCCAACCATTACTAGTCAGGCTTTTGTTTTCTAGTTGGGTCAAACCATTTGATTTTTTGATGAAGGGAATATCAATAAAGATAAAGAAATTTCCTTTTTTTATTTTAGTTTTAATTTGTATAGCTATGAAATAACTGTGATCCATGTTCTAGGTATTTATATACATTAGGTGTGAATTTTTCCCCATCAATGTAGATAGGAATTGAAAGTGGTGGAAGTGCAGATCTAAGATATTAAAGAAAGTGGGTTGAGAAAGAAGTTCCTACCAAATGTACAGGAACTTCATCAGTATAAACCATTGAGAGGTTTTTACTATGACCCCATAATGGAGCAATATAGAATGGAAAATATTGTTTTTTTTGAGTAATTGGAAAACTAAGTTTGAAGAAGCCTACTTAACTCTCTTTCCCCACCTCGCCCCACTCTACTATCTACTTACCTAGTATTCATGTCACAAGGACCAAGCACAGGTGATATAGTAGTGACAACAAAATTGTTTTCTTTTCCCTCTTCAAAAATCAAACTAAATTCTAATTGAATCATGAAACAAGAACCAGGGGGTATAGCCAGGATTTTCCAGGGGGAGCCAAAATTCAAAATTCAACCATTTTGTTAAGCCGAACCCCCCCAAAAAGAAGCTGGCATTGTGTTTTATGCTTAAATTTTGCTTAAAACTTAGCAAAGCAAATAAAAATTAACATTTAATTTTTAAAAAACCCACCGTTTTGTTGCCATAAACGGGAGGCGATGGCCCCCTCAACCCCTGTCTATGCCCTTGAGAACACAGGTTTGTTAGTCACTGGCTGTTAGGTACAAACCTTATAGACAATCACTATTTAAGAGTACAATCTTTCTGAGTGGAGTAGAAAGCCATGTCAGCACAATCAAAACTGATACTTATCTCTGTTGTATTTTTTCCTCCAGACAAATGGTCAATCTGTGTTACCGCCAAATAATGTGGTCATTAGAAAAATGATAGATTATGTCAACCAAATAAAAGATATCCATAACTATGGATTAATAGTCAGCCAGGTCTTCAAACATAAGAATGTTGATTTAGAGCTAATGCAAGAGAAGCTTGAGCAATCAGTAAAGTACTATAACAGCAATAAAGATGACAAAGGTATTCATTCATTCTTTCTTTCTTTCTTACATAGATTATTATTATAATAATTCTATATCAATATTTGGATAATTCTTTTAAACTTGTGTGTGTTTTTAGAAGAAGCAGAGGATAAGACAGAAAGTAAAGGAGAGAATGAGCACCAGTACAAGAAACGCTGGCAACACTGGCAACAGCATAACTTCAATGCACAGACTGTTGTGCCGACACACATTAAGGTGAGGCTAAATGAATAAGACAGTCATAAGTAAAGGTGCCAGTGATACAATATGTTGTATTTTTATAGTGGGTTAACAATTGGTTTTCAGTTAAGCCCTCTTTTGCTAATGCAAACTAACCCTATGTTCAATATTGTATGCATGGAATTTTCGATCCACGTTTTACTCACATATACCTAGTAAATATATAATCCTCTTTTCTGACTATTTCTTTCTGCTTGGCTTTTACCCCAGGAGACTAATGGACAAGAAGTAGAATCTAATGATATTGATCAGTTACAAGAACAATTAGGCCAGTTACATGTGGTGGAAAACAATGGAATCTATGACGATGAATCAAGTGCTGTTGTTACACCTAAAAGTCCAGTATCAGCATCTATTGTACCTGGTCCGAAAGCTGTCTCCCCCTCGGCACTAGCAATGATATCACCACCTTTATCGTTCCCAACACCCCCACCTTCTTTGGATGGGTCACCATTGCCCGGAAACTTTGCTGACAATCAAACACTACCTGTCAATGAAACTGTGCCTGTCAATCAAACACCAGCTGTCAATCAAACTGCACCTGTCATCCAAGCACAATCTGTCTGTCAAATACCACCTGTCAATCAAACTGCACCTGTCAATCAAACTGCCCCAAATATGACACCAGGTAAGATTTTATTGGCAACAGTTTTTGGCAATTTGCTTGTTTGATAACCACTTCATTTTAACCCTAAACCCTTACTAGTGTACTCAATAAATTTAAAATAGATGTGTAGCACACCAAACCAAACATTTTTGGACCCTGAAACACCTTTGGAAAATCTGTATCAGGCACAGTTAACTCACTAATAAATTAGAATTTAGTGTGTTTGGATGTGCAGAGAATGGAAGAGTGTACAACCCAGATTAAAACTATCAGAGAGTCAATAAGATAGCAGTATGAAACATTGTAACCAATTGTTAAATTTGATTGTTGATTTCTTTAGGCAAGCATTAACGAGCATTATCAACATGTTTGTTTCAGTGTCTGACCATATAGCACCACTAAAAGGAATAATTAAAACTATTACACCACAAGTTCTGGATGTTGTTAGACAACGCCACCAATCTGGTCAAATGAATGAATGTGTCTATCAAATCTTAACAAGAGCAGAGCTGACCGTAAATGCTGCACTTGAAGATGAACACAACACAGATAACCAACCAACACCCTTGTTATATCGGCCAATAAGACAACATGTTTATGGAATACTGTTTGACAAAAAGGCTTATGACATGAAGTATGGCACACATGATCCTCCTCCTGTCGTCAAGGAATGGTGTGTCTACAGAGGGAAGAAGCTTAAGGAGCCAGACTTAGTAGAGGCTGTTAGCATGAAATGGAGTATTCCTGAGCTTAATCAGCTGTGGTTTGGTGCAGAAGCTACCGATAATCTAAACCGCATGAAAGCATTTTTGACATGTATGATGAGTGATACTCCGAATATGACCAAGACTACAATGGTGCCTCAGAGACTCGTTATTATGTGCTGTGTTCTGAGGTGAGTATTTGTTAAAGAGTTACTACTTCTATAAATCAGCTATGTTCATAGTCATCACTGGAATTCAAGTACGACACAAGTACTTAGTAATCTGAATCAAAACTAAACAAAGCCTTTCAGTGGCCTCAAAATAAGTTTTTGTTTTCATTGAAGCCTGGAATTTTTTCATAGTGATTTTATTTGAAGAGTGGAAGAAAAGTAGGATTCTAATACAGCTTTCTTTGGTTGAGGGGTTCAAAGATGCGGTTTATTTCGTCCCCTAAAGCAGTCGCACAAGCAGTCCCACCTTGCACAGCAATGCCAACACAACCAAATTTTTTCTCAACTCGGAATGGCTAATATGTAATGGAAATTACATTTTACTTAAATTATTGGGTTTACTATCCCAGTCCAAATAGATGTTACTTAGCTTTAATGATTTTGCTAAATGGTAAATATCTGTCAACAGATATCTTTTGCAGCAAGGCAAGGCAGGTCAGCCCATTCTCTTGACACATGAAGTTGATGCATTTCTAGCAGCTGCACTTTCTCCTCACATTAGTACAGAATTCAATCCTTCTAACCTCAGCCAACTCAAGCTAATGCAGGTAGAGCTAAGAGGAGTTCAGTTAGCAACAATGTTCATGAGAGGAATAGAGGCTGCATATCTTGCTAATGATGCTTGTGGGTGTCCTGTCCCATGGGAATTTGTGTGTCCGTGGAACTACTTTGACGGCAAATTGTTTATGAGCAAGTACTTGCAGGCTGCTAACGATGTTACTCCCTTAGAACTCTGTGATGGCAAGGTAAGATAGTTCTTGTGATTATAATACAGGGATTTTTATGATTTGCTACTCACTCAGCCCAAGCCATCTGGGTTTTTGGCTTCCATCAATCAAAAAAATTACTATCTTAGATCATTGCAAATTGCATGTACTACCAAAACATGTAGAGTGTGGATTTGACTCGTCAAAAAGCACTTGTACGTTTTACTTCACATTCGTAATGTCTCGTACACACATTCCTGAGCCTGGGGTGGTTAATTAGCTTTGAACTTTGAGTCTGCGGTCAGTAACCATCAAATTTGAATCTTAACGTCAAAGTTAAATTGTCGCTCTGTGCTCAGGAATGTATGCATGGGGCTTTAGGAATGTAGAGTAAAGCAAGTGCTTTTTAACGAGTCAAATCCACACTCTACCTGTTTTGGTATTAATTTATTCATAAGCATATGATTTTGCTTTATCATACGATGATTGTATTCCTTTGTTTGTAATTTATCTGACATATTTATTAGTTGAACAGCCTTTTCCTTGCTCTGTTCAGTAGTCCAAATGAAAAGAAGCAGTATAAGTCAGGAACAATCAATGTAGTCTTCTACGAAGTCTTAATGTCACATTTAATATCACATGTTGGCATAATTCAACATAATACAATGTTCATTCATTGCAGAATGCCAGATTAGAAAAGCTTCAAAGGATGCATTGGTGTATAATGGAAGGGATTGCCCCAGAACTGCTCGGCATCCGGCTTCCTACCATGGGTGGATTTCATGGGCCAGGAATGCATGCAGGCTCACCAATGCAATTTCTTGGGTTTCCACCCAATATTCCTGGTATGCCACCAGTACAGTCTAACTTTATACCTGCTGGTATGAGGATGCCGCAACAGGTTCCATTAGCAGAACGCCCACGTACTAGAGGTATGAGCAGCAAGCGTGCTGTATCAGGTCTGGGTGGTACTCTTGAAGTAGCTGGTGTTCCAGTCGCAAATTGGGGCGGTAACAGGGCAGGGCGTGACTACAGTGAGCATAACCGAATAGTTGCAGGGGGACCTGCCAGTGTGGAACTTCCCTCTAGAGGGCGTGGTCGTGGTGGCCGTGGTGCACGAAGAGGAGGTCATTGGCAAAACACAAGAAATGTGACATGGGCTGTAGAGGTTGACAAGGATTATGATCGACGTATTGAATACAAAGAACCTCAGAATGCAAGATCAACAAACTTACATCATCAAATTCAAGATCAACCTTTCCATGTAGGCTTTGGAGATAACGAGAGTATGTTGCACCAAGTGCAGGGTTACCATGGTAACTTGCCTACTACGATACCTGACCCTTCAGCACATCATCCTATATTCACTGCACCTCTCGACAAACCACCAATGAATATGCACATGGCTATGAATCCTCACCCTCAGCCAATCATCCCAACAAGTGATAAAGTTCCACAAAATCAGGTACATATCTTATCTAAACCTTCAGACAAGCTATCTGGGCAAGGACGAGGTAGAGGTATAGCTGCCTCATTAGGTAATAATGTTGGAGGCATACAACAAGGCCAAGTGATGCCAAAGGGTCGTGGATATCTACTAGAAAACCCTATACAGCAAACCCCAGCAACTTGAATTCTTTTCAAAGAAAAAGACTTTGAAATCCAGACAATGATTCATTTTGATTTTCTGCTTTATGCTTTAATTGTACTTTTCAACCTATCAAGTTTGTCCTAAAATAAACTTTTTTTCTCTTCTCTTAAAAATTTCTTTGCACAAGTCACTGATAAATAATACAGTACTAAGAAGCATATTACATTTGGTGTTCTAGATACAGGGTTAGGTTTTTGTCAATGATCAAGTACAAAGATATAGAATAGCTGTTTAAATGAAGGTTCATAATGTGAAGTAATTCAAACTTCGTTCTTAGTGCGGTAACACTATTGTCATACAAACAACATCATTAACTAAAACAACATTTGATTATAAATAACCCAGTTATGGGTAATAACAGAAACCACTTACAGACAGCATTGGTGTAGCGATTGCCTGTGGCTGTTGCATAAAGTTCTGGTTTGAACAGTAATGTTTTTTGGTAAACGATGAGTGAAGGTGCTGTAAAATGGGTGACAAAGCTGTGAAATTTTGATTGCAACATTGTAGTGTTAAACGTATAGACTAAGTATTATTTCTTATAATTGTACATTTTGCCTTTGTTGTGTGAGGGTTTTTTCTTGTCTTTACAACAAAGAATTGTTAGCACTGAATGGTATTATAAATAAGTAGAATGATCTTCCCAGACTGAGAAATAGTTAGTATAGGTTAGTAGATCTTATTTGAGTAATATACGCTGACTACAAGAAACTGTTTCACAGTTTCAGGAAAATCACTCTCACAAAGTCATACAACATTGTTGCAAAAGTCGCACAACTATGTTTCCAGTATTACAAACCCTTCAGTTGATACAAGTTGGTATCTATAATTGCTAAATTTTGAATGGCTCTAAAGGCAAGACATGCATCAACTTAAACATTCGGGTCTCAAATCATTAAGGATGGTAAAAGGTTATCGATCAAAATATTTTCTAATCACAATCTGTTCTGGACCTTTATTTGATAAGTACCAAAAATATTTCAGTTGTGGAATTAGACTACCTTTAGATCGTTGCACAATATTATTGTTTGTTAATAAAGATAGAGGTATCATTTAATAAACCATTAATAATAATAAAGAAACATCTTTTTCATATTTTAGTAGTTTTATTTGTTTGCCTGTTTTAAGTGTAAAACCACTCTCAATCCCAGAGCCCTGTCATTCTTATTGCATATGCTCAATGAAATGCTGAAGACTCTACACTATGGTGTGTAATATGCATGCTCTTGTTTGGAATCAAAGCTAGAGTGTGTGCTTCCTTAAACAATGATCGTATATTTGATGTGAAGCACCGGTGGCGTGCGCTGCTAATGCGCCGCCTCTTACCAATGCGCCCCGAGTTCGATGTCGTATGTGAGTAGAGTTATTTGTTGGTTCTCTCCTGTGCTTTGAGGGTTTTTCTCCAGTTTTCCTCCTCAAAAATCGACTTCTAAATTCTAATTCGATCTTTGGGCTTTCACTTAGTTTGGAGCCTAGCTCTGTTGTGATTGTCCCACGCTGTGATACAACAGCGAAAAGCTTTGTAGATTTTACTCCCAAAAATGTTTTTTTAATTGCTTTACAGCTGCACTGCCATTTTATCGATACTCAAGGCAATTGTTATCCTTTAGTGCAAGGAGCTTGTGATTGCTAATGCCATTTTTCAACCAATTTTTGTGATACATACTGTAACCAATCACGGCTCTTAAGGAGGTTGAAAAGTTACAATTATGAACTAAAAAAAGTTAATATGGCCATAATATGACAGCAAGTAAACCAGGAATGCAAAAGACTATAAACCAAAGATCACAATGAGCATGGGAAAATATGACGTAAGACGTTGCTATGACAGCATCAGTAACCTTGTTATGCCATCAAAAATGTTTATTTAAAAAATCATAACTCRGGAACCGAATGGTGAAATTTTTTAAAAACCGGAATATTTCCACTTTGTATCGTAATCTTTTTGGCAAAAAGAGAAAAATCTGTAATAGGAATTTCTTAAAAATCAATAAAATTTGTTTGGAATAGTTCCCTCTTACAGAATTTTTTAAATTTTTCCTTAAGTTTTCGAAAACATAAACTAGAGCCATATGCAAAATTTGAAGAAATTACACCACAGAGTTTTTGATTTTTTCAGTTTGAATATTAAAAGTTTATAGAGCGCGCGTGCTCAAGAAACACTGTTTCGAGACTCCTTAAAGTTCTAGGGTTTCCTAGTGTCTCTGGCATTTTGTCAAGTATCCCACAGTAGAGTGAAGTCATTAAACCTGTGAAATAGAAATTAGATTAATACACATTTGTAGACCCTAACTATTGTTTTCTTTTGTGTCTATCTGACTATTACAGGATTGTTATGTGGGCTACCTGTGGGAATCCTGATTGTTTTATCCCATTTCTAGTGACCTAAATCCCAGTTAGCGCGAAAAAAAGTCAAATCGCAGTTTCCATGTTGCACCAGTCATTTGATACCCTGCCCGCAACCCCCCCATCCACCCCGAGGCATACCTGAGGCATTCACTGTTTCCCTCAGTGAAAGGTAATGAAAGCCCCGCCCCACGGGAAAGAAAGTAAAACTGAAGTCCCCGCGCGCATCATCTTTTGAGCAGTTTATTTTTGGATATTTAATTTCTTTTGCAGAAACGTGTTCGCCGACAAAGAAATAGATTGAAGTGTTTGTCTTTTTCTTTTTCTTTATCATCGAATAGATGAAAAGCCATTTTTCGATCGATGCCCAGAAAAACATAATAAAATGCGATGAAACCTTACCTTCTTCGTCTCACCTCCATGACAACGTAAACTCACACGAGGAGCTCACTCTGTCCCAGTCCCCAAAACGAAAAAATGCAAGTGAAAAATCCTCGCTACAATACAATACAATTTTATACAATACAATTTTATTTGGCACCTTATACTAATAGTACATGAGTGTTTGATTCCAAATATATTATAGGTATATATATAT